GGACACCTGTCTTGGCACTCTTGTTTGCAGTGGGATTCAGTCCCTGGGTAACCATGTCAGAAAGACAGCTCACGGGCTCCTGCTGGATTATGTAATGTGTCTTCACTGTGCTTTCTTTTCCACGGAGAACAAAACTAATTAGCAAACTCCTCTCAGCACATGGGAAAATAACCTAACTGCTGCATCTGGCGGAGTTCACCTGTTAAGGTGGACCAGAAAACATCCTGACCAACTCCCAAGACCTGATCTTCTTTAACCTTACAAACACTACTCAGAACTCAAGTCCCCTGTTGTGACATTGGATCATCTGTCCATAATTCAAGCTGAGCTCACATAAACATTTCTAATTCGTGGGACTCTCTCTTTGTTCTGCAAGCAACCACGGTGCACGCCCTTTTGATATATGATTTGACCAATCCCAGCCAAAACGTTCCAATCATTATTAATCTCTCAGCACTACTGCCTTTGTTTAATCGAACCAACTGTCAAACTAATTATACTCATTGGCGCCCAGGCCACGGAGATCCCCAGGCAGAGCAAGCGAACAAGTGCCTCTCATGGCAGGGGATGAGCTCAGTCTCTTGGAGGAGATGATCCGATTCTCTTATTATCTTTAGATTACAGCGCTACTCACAATAAAGGAACTCAACTTTCAGTCCATTATTTTAATATTAGCACTAGCCATGGTGTTGGTTTGGCCCAATAGTACATATTCTTCTATAGATCTGATAGTCATAATTATTCCAAAAAGATAGGTCATCACCTCCTTGGTCCAATAAGGTTAGGTCCCACAAAGACATTGTTCAGTATCTGGGGCAATGGACAGTAGAAATCCTCCAACCCTTTGGACCATCAGTGCGACTTTTCAGTGTCCCAAGCTTAGGTCTAGCGGGCACTTGGCCTCCCCCTGGCGCATACTGTGATGTAATGGATGCCCTTGTCCTTTGGGTCACCTCGGCTAACCACGAGGCCATGAGAAATGTCACACTGGCTGGGGCTGTGCAAGCACACCAAGCCTAGAGCTGCTAGCTAGGGTGATGCTAGGCAGTTAATTAGCCCTTAATTACCTGGTAGCCAATCAAGGAGAAGTTTGTGCTGTTGTCAGTACGGCCTAGTACACCAGTACAAATAATCCCGAGCAGGCTGAGATTGGTATTGAAAAGATCTCTGAGCAGGCCGCCTGACCGCACTGGCATGATGAGGACACTGACCCTACTGCACCTGCCCAGCTGTGAGATCTTACCTTCTGAAACTCATTAGGAGCTTTCCTCTTTGGGGGCCACTCACGGTCATCCTGCTCCTACTCATATTTGGCCTCTGCGTCCTTAATCGAATGGTAGAGTTTGTCGATTAAAGGCTTCAAAGATCCTTTAAGCCTCCTTACATCTTGGAAAGAAGGGGCTCTTGAAGGCTCATTAAAACCCAAATGGAAGATCCAGCTTGTAGCCTGTACTTTCAGGACAAATGCATAGAACCTTCTCCCATTGAACAGGTGGTCCATACAGACACTAACTGTGTCTTCACATCTCCTGCAAGGTTCTTTCCTGCCCAGCCAGTAAGGGCCAGCGTCCCAGTGCAGGCAAATCACACACATACGCCCCAGCAGGTAAGGTCTACTGACAGTTTCAGCAGGATGCAGCTGTAAGAAGACACCTCTACCCCGTAGCATCCCAGGAAGAATCATGAGGATTTTGTCTCTCAAGGGGAAAATGAAATAGGAGGTCACGGTGAGAGAAAAGCCAGAGTCCTGGTCAGGACGTGCACTCTGGGAAATGATCTCAGCTGAGGCCGGAGTCATTCTAAAGCATTAAGGAAGGCAGGCTGGTGTTCACACAGGGAAGAGAAGAGGGGCTTTTCTCTGACCCCACAGGATGCCTCACTGGAAGTTTGTCACAGGACAGGCTACAACAGCCTACAGACTGCACCGAAAGGTGTTCTGGTGAGTAACAATAAGCTTTAGGTTAAGCACCGCTCTGCTGTGCTTTGTTGGAAACAACACCTAAGACGATACAGCTGCTTGCAAGTAATTTATCTGCATTGCAAACAAATCTTGGGAGTATTCATGAGTAGGAAAATATCCAACGCACAAAGTATTACCAAACATGCAACGCGGAAGAAAACACAATGCACTGTGTAAGATGCCAGCGTGGAGAAACCAGCCCTGGTAGCTGACTCCCATTCTCCTGGACCAAAAGCAGTGAATGATGACAGTTCTGAGGCCGAGGGGTTACTATGCAACACGTGTGTTGCCTGACACCAGGTGCACAGACCCTAGAACTGTTAAAGAGGGACACGAGAAGACCTGGCGTAGAAGCTGGGAGTGTCACTCAGTGGCAGGGTCTATGTTCAGCTTGTGAGCAGCACTGAGTTCCCTGCCGGGTACCAAAACCAAATAAAACAGCGCAGAGAATATAAATGTGACCATTATAACTATAATGATATAATTGTCAGTATAAATATATCATTTATATGATATAGGTCATGACCTATACCTTGATAAAGTTCAGCAAATGGATAAATGCTTCATTTATTCATTCCACACGGAAGCCAGAACTCACTGAAAGCGGTGACTGGAGCGAAAATTTTGAATGCACTGGGGCTGAGTTGGAACACTCAAAGTGAAGGAGAAAGGTAGCGTTTACATAGAGAAGAACAGTGATGACTTGTGCCAGAGTGTCAGATGACGTCATATAATTATAATTGGAATCTGTGTGGGAAGGGAAATGAGGGGATTAATATTTGAGGATGTAACAACTATAAACTTCCCAAATTAGATGAAAATCCTAAATCCAAATGTGTCCTGACTTACATTTTGATGATTGGATTCTGGGTTTCAGAAGGGGTAAGAATATAAACGTGGAGCAAGAACTTGAGATGTTTCATAGGTTTTGCCATGTGATTCAATCAAAACTACAATCAATAACACATTCTCAAGTATGGACAGACATTGCAACGTGTTCAGTAAAAGAGCCAGAGCCAGGCAGGAAGTGTCCTGTATTGTACGATCCCACACAAGACATGCCAGGAATAGGTAAGCCCACAGGTGCTGCAAGGAGGGGCTGAGGACTGTGCAGGAGAGTTAGGGGCCTGGGGCTCTTTTTGGCATGAAGAAATATCCTGAACCTATGCA